GTACATGTACATGTAGTGTATGAGTAGTCTATCGTACATGTACATGTAGTGTATGAGTAGTCTATCGTACATGTACATGTAGTGTATGAGTAGTCTATCGTACATGTACATGTAGTGTATGAGTAGTCTATCGTACATGTACATGTAGTGTATGAGTAGTCTATCGTACATGTACATGTATGTGCTGCATGGATGAACAAGACATGCCATAGAAAGCAGAGGTTTTAGTGGATTGTCACACCGCATTGTAAACTCAAGTGTTCATAGATAGTATGGAGTAGACACAATCAGTCTTCCATCTGATTGTACAGTGTTCTTGTAGGTGCTCAATTCCATAAGTCACTTGGTTGGTTGCCTTATATTTGCCAAATTAATGTTTCTTTGCCCTGGTGTATTTGTGTACATTAACCCTAACACTCCCAAATTCTCCAATTTCCATACGATTTTACATACACCCTTGGGGTTAGGGTTAAGGCTGCTCATCATTTGTGTCAAGGTGTATGGCATACAGATCAATTCTCTTCAATCTGAATACTGAAATATGTTTATGTGAGGAGCCGTACATTTAACTACGCTTGATTTGAAAATAATGTAGATTTTTTCAGGTTCTAAATCATTAAGACCTATAAAACATACCATTTATAGAAGCAAAGAAGAAATCTGTTCAGGGTTAATTTTAACATGACGTATTCGTACAGAGATATTTTTTGCTGTCCAAAATATCCAGTATGCATACAAATTGTGATTATCCTGTATGTTTGGATACTTGAGTTCAAAGTGTAATTTTCACATATTGAGACAGTTACAGTAGTAGTTGTGCTTAAAGATAAATTACATGTACCTTTAGACCTAGAGGTCAGCAGAGATGTATATTAAATTGTCATTTCCATGTACAGGTATATGATCGTACATCAGGTATATGAATGTATCAGTACGTCAAATATAGGAATGTACCAGTACGTCAAATATATGAATGTACCAGAACGTCAAATATATGAATGTACCAGGACGTCAATTATATGAATGTACCAGTACGTCAAATATATGAATGTACCAGTACGTCAAATATATGAATGTACCAGTACGTCAAATATATGAATGTACCAGCACATCAAATATATGAATTTACTTCTGTATCTATGTTCAAGGTGCATGTACAAAGGAATGTTGGATTCCTTATTAGGAGGGGGTTTTGGTGGTGACATTTTGTCTTCTATGTTGGGTTGCCTTTTGGGATTTCAGTTTTGTCAGGAATTATTTTTTTTTTCAATGAGACGAACGCAAGCTCAGTGTTTGTACTTTGTGTTTACAGAGATCATTTATAGCTCACAAATGTGGCTAATGGAAATAAATAGAACCATCTGAAATGTTTTTCCTAACTGATAGGAATTATTGACTGGTTCATGCCATTGGCGATGTCAGATAAAAACATACTTTGACCAGATGAACTTCTCGTATACTTTCAGTACTTCTGATTGCAAGCTGTTGGTAGTAAACATCTGTCAGGTATGTGTATAGCTACAAAGTGCCAACAAAATCCTGTTTAGATCATTTGCTATTGAAATAACATCTTCATTTATTACACTTTATTCTTCAGTGAGGTCATATCTAAATCAGCTCTCTAGTGTTTACACCACCATACATTGCTCCTTTTGCACTTTCTAAATTATTTGAAGTACCAAGTTGAAGGGGACAGCATGGTGTCATTTCTTTAAAATTTTAGGAATTGAAGTTAATACTTTGTGTTGTCATTCAACAGCATGCTTATCAAAGGCTAGATACATCTATGTTTTAGAGCTTGCTTATCACACAAACTTGTAAGATGTAAAGCATTGATGAATTTTGCTGAGGCAAAACAGCCTAGACCCAATTGAATAGTGCCACCAAGTAAGAGATACCACCTAGCAAATTTATGTGCTATGCAAAAACCATTGGGAAACTAGTCATAAGAAGTGTAGAATGGGTAGTGTTTTAGCTGGTAACCCACTTCTGCTTTGCATAGCTAATATTTTTGAGTGGTACATTGCAACAATATCTGTGATAAAATGTTATAGCATTGTGTTACTGTGACTCTGTTGTGGTTGACGTATATATTTGGGCTTACCGTGTTCCATTTGTTGCTAATAGCTAGCATACACACTGTATATCCCAAATACATTTATTTTTCAATAAGCATTTCAGATGTAGGTAAATATGCAGTGCAGACATGTAGAGTAGGCATATACTTTTCATGTATATATTATGTCAGATATCTTCATTGTCGCTTCTTTTTTGAGCAGTTGTTTTTGTTGTGTTTTAGCTTGAAGAGGTTTCTTGGTTTTGTGTGTGTTCCTTCGTATCCACAGAGAATGTCAGGATACTTCTGGAAGTAAGTTAGTGTTTGAATATAGAATTCCCTGTGATATTTTCTTGAGAGTTATCAATAGATGTTTTTTTGTCATCTGTGATAAGACACATTTTTTTTCCCTTAGCAGCTGAGTAGAAAAGCTTGCAAGGTAGCCATCTTGCAGGTTTTTTTCCCCACAGGGAACCCTTCTTGTGCATACCATGTGAAATAAAAACACTTGCCTGCAAGATGGCAGCCATGCAAATACTCTGTTGCAGAGTATGGTGATTCCTGGATGTCAATCTTAAAGAGCGAGTGTCATCTGTTCTTTTCATTCAAGTGACTGCTTGCTTAAGGAGTTTCTGTTAACACTTGTATGAATGAGTGTTTGAACTTTTGTAGAAAACATCCCTGCAAAGGTTGATGTGGAGCCAGAAGTCGTTGAAGTCTCAATTTCTTGAGGTTGATCAGAAATCCAAGTCAAGCGAGTGCACATTTTAGACAAAAGTCACCTTAGACCATGGCCAAAATGGACATTGTTGTCTGGGGTTGAGACTATTGACTGTGGTTAGGTAATAGTGCAAAGAACAAGCTGCAGCTTGGAAACAGTTTGGTCGGGGTTAAAGAACCAGTTATAGACAGTATACATGTACATTATATGAGGTGTCTTCCGGCCACTTGTCACAAGTGCTTGGGCTTCATTTAAAAGGCCTCATGCCACCAGCTTCTGACAAAGTTTCTGAGGTAAACTCATATCCTGTGGATTTTGCATTTAAAAAGTGCTATAATTTGAAGATTTCAAGGTTTTTATACTCTGCCTTTTTGTTAATTTACGTGCAACTCTAACTCTACTTGTGAACCACTTTGGGAATTTGGATTGCATTACTTTGTTAGAATTATTTTGATGTCGTATAATTAATGTTAATTTTAGTGACAGATATTAGGATTAACATTTGGATTTGCTTGGTCTTTTCACTTTTAAGTTAAACTAGCTCTGTACATGTGTATAGAATTTTCTGACAGAAGGCACTCTGAACCATGTTGAGCTCAAGAAACTAATCCAGGCAAGATTTAAAATTAGGGCCTTTTATAAAAAAAATTTTGGAAGCTGATGCCGTCACATACTGTCTGTTCCACATCCGTTCTGGGGTTGTCTAAATCTCAAAATCGATTGTTGCAAGGAAATGGAAATTCGGCTTAACATTTGCAAGACGCACACCCCAGTCTGAACCAAAGTGCTTTGCAAGCCAAGGTTTCAGGAATGGCTTATAGATAACGGTCTAGTCTTCAAAGGGTACAATTGACTCTTTGAAGAGAGTTAAGTTGCGTCAAAAAATGAAGAGAGTGAAATGTTTAAAGTGGGGGCATATTAATCATTTTCTGGTTCAGGATGTTTAAATTAACAAATCAGTATTGTAAAAAATGTGATTACCTGAACAGGTTAGTGATGTACTTTTCCAAAATTATAACTTCATTTAGATTGGAAAAATATAATTAAAGTTAACTTCATGGAAAAAATGTTTGCCATATTCGTGATCCTTTGCGTGTTTATTCGTTCACCCTAGTTTTCTTTTAACTCTCTAAAGATAAAA